GCAAATCTTGTATTTCTTTCTCACTCTCATAAAACCTAGGAGAGAAATAAGGGACAGACGAGTAAGGCCTTAAAAGGGCTGAGCACATAGGCAAGGACAAAGGTAGATTTGATTAGACAATCACAGATTGGGGAAGATACACTGCGTCTCCCCTCCTATTAACCCCAGGAGGCCTCCAGGAAACCTGAAGACAATAATCCCAGAAGCCCAGAGGGTGACCCCATTTCCTCCCCTGGGTTATTACTGGGTGTCAGGCTGTGAAGCAGTTCGGGAATTCAGGAAATTGTAAAGAAACCACAACAGCCTCAACAACCATCTTCTCAAACATCAACATCAACAAGCTCGACAATAAAATTCATTAAAATTCACCTCCCTGCCACCTACAACCACAGACCTGAAGGAGGCAGGTGGCACTATGGGGAGGGAGAGGCTCTTTGCTGCTGCTTCCCCAGTCCGATTGTCCGCACCCCTGGCCTGAGTTTTCCAGGGTCTCAGGGAAGCGGGGAAACGGGTATCCCTATTTCTGGGTCAGGGCACCAGAGACCGAGGACGCCTCCACTCTCGGATCCTCGCTGTCAAGTAGGTCAGGATTAAAACAAACTGAGGTGAAGGCGGAGGTTGGCGTTCCTGGGGAAGCCTGGGACGTCCAAGCACCTGGGAAGGCCGCCGGAGCCAAGCCAAGCGAGTGAGAGTGGAGATGTTGGGGTGGAAATGGGACGGGAAAGGCGTGGCGAGGGGTCCAGGACCGGCCTTGGGGTGGGCGTGTGTGTGGAAGGATGGCCAATCAGAGAGTGTGCTTCCGCCAAGGGGCGGGATAGGGGCGCGCCTGGGTGGAGATTGGCTAACGGCGCCGCGGCTTTGCGGTTCCGCGTTATATATGGCAGAGGCGGCTGCGGTGCCATGGGGTCCGACCGCGGCGCACTCGTCTGAATCGGGCGCTCGGAGTTCCTCGGGTCCTGGGTCCGTTCTGTCCCGCCCCCAGGTTCGCTCCTCGGGCCCCCAGCCTGTGGTTCGGCTCCCCAAGCTCCCCGCCTTGACGCCTGCAGAACGAAATGGGCACAGTCATGAATGCCTCGGACGGGAAAGAGCCGCTGCTCCAGCCCTACAACTTCGAGCTGCTCGAGGACCCAAGGCCCTTTCTGGAGGAGTACTGGTGAGACCGGGGCAGCGGAAAGGCCACGATGCTGATGACTGGCATTAGCGGGGTTGGGGGGACGCTGCCCGCAATGGTACCGGGCTCTCCTGTGGCGGCTCCACATTCCCGCTGTCCAAGGTGCAGGTAGTGTGGTGCCGCAAAGAGATTAGATCTGGAAGAGAGAAAGGGGTGAGAGAGAGAGAGAGAGAGAGAGAGAGAGAGAGAGAGAGAGAGAGGAGAAATAAAAGGATGGGGTGAGGAGACAGAAACCCAAGGGAAAGAGTGTAGCGAGAACTGGTCTCTGAGGCATGGGGTTGACTTGAACTCCTAGTCCCACCAGCCTGTAGACGATTCCTCTTTGTCCTTTGTGGCCTCGCGTGGCCGGGGGTGCCCGTGTACAGAGTGCTGGTGCCGAGGGACAGCCTGCCCTTCACAATTACCACGTTGTTCTCCAAGTGTTTCATCGTCCCAGCTGTGGAGAAGGGGGCAAAGCCGGGGAGCTCTTCAACATTTCCCTCGGGCTCTCTGGCCTTGCCCTAAGGCTCCTCCAAGGTGTCTGTGGGCTGATTTTGTGCTCCAGCCAATTTGGTGGCAGCTACTTGCCACATTCTTCTTACGACATCGCCCTGTGTTGTTTCTAGGCATGGGCCAGCACTTGTCACCCACTCCCAGCCCCACTGAGAGCAGGAATCACAGCACCCTTGGACACAGCCCCCGAAATGTGCTATGTCCTTGGCATATTTTTACTCCTCACCCGAGGAGATGTTATTATTGATTTGAGAGGGAGAAATATCAATGTGAGAGAGAAACATTGATCGTGGCCTCCTGTACGTGTCCTGATGGGTGATCGAACCCACAACCTAGGTATGTGCCTTGACCAGGTTTGAACCCGCCACCTTCTGGTGCACGAGCTGATGCTCCAACCGAGTACATCCTAAGTACTTACATAGTAACGCTGTCAGGAGAGGAGTAATATTCCCCTTTTACGAATAAGGAAACGGAGGCTCCGAGAACAAAGTAGCTTTTCCAATGTCACAAAGCTACTCGGTGGCAGAGGTGGAACTCCAATCCAGAGCACTCACTCGGGGAGATGAGTGGGTGTTTCTCTAACCAGCACCCACCCACCAGCCCCTCCCCTGTGCCTTCTGCCTCCCAGGACAGCCTCATTTCCCATAGCTCTCATCTACCTGCTGCTCATCTTTGTGGGGCACAACTACATGAAGGCACGGAAGGGCTTCAACCTGCAGGTGCCTCTCACCCTTTGGTCCTTCTGCCTTGCAGTCTTCAGGTAAGACACTCCTCGCTTATCCTGTACACCCTAGAGCAGTGATGGCGAACCTTTTGAGCTCGGCGTGTCAGCATTTTGAAAAACCCTAACTTAACTCTGGTGCCATGTCACATACAGAAATTTTTTGATATTTGCAACCATAGTAAAACAAAGACTTATATTTTTGATATTTATTTTATATATTTAAATGCCATTTAACAAAAAAAATCAACCAAAAAAATGAGTTCGCGTGTCACCTCTGACATGCGTGTCATAGGTTCGCCATCACTGCCCTAGACCCTCACTCCATCCCCAAAAGCTTTCTAGAAACCTCAATTGCATCAACTCCCCAAGTTGCCCCCAGCTCCCCCTATCCCATTCGCTCAGCTCTAGGGGCCTCCCCAGCTTCCCCTCTCCTTCCCCAGGCACCAGATGGGCAGTTTTTGTTCTCTCGAGTCCTCTTGTGCTCATGGAGTCTGTATACTTCCGACAAATGTCTCCAGACTTTAAGATCCTCCAATAACTTCCCTAGCCCCTCCTTCCCCTATTTCCTCTCCCATTGGTATCCCCCATCCTGCCACCCATCTCCTCATAGGCTCCTACCCATCCCAAGAATTCTGTTCCTTAACTCAACTTTCAGTCCCATCCTCCAGCATTCCTGGTCCTTTCCAGCCCTCATCTCCTCTAGATCGCTGGTTGGATTTACCAGATTGGCTCCAGGATCTCAGAAACCATGACTCCTGGAAGGATGGGAAGGTGGCGGAACTTGGGTCCTGACCAGGCTGAGGGGGAAGGGTGGATTGGTGTCTGGGAATGATCTTACACCCTTTTCCTCTGTCCCATTTCAGTATCCTGGGGGCAGTGAGGACGTGGGGCATTATGGGAAATTTGATACATAGGCATAGCCTAAAGCATACTGTGTGCTTCACCACCTCCCTCGACGAATCTGTAGTCAAATTTTGGTCCTGGCTCTTTGTTCTCAGCAAGATCATTGAACTTGGTAAGTGGCAAGGTTTTGTCTCTCTGGCACCCAGTCGACTGCATCCTTCCTTAGTTCCCCCCTCGCCCATCATATGGAGAGTCCCTTCCCCACTCCTGGTCCTAACAACACCTCTCACCCAAGCCCTCTTCCAGATTCTCTGCCACAAAGACCCCTCTCCCCACCCTGAGAATTCCCCCTTTGCCCCCACATTCAGTGCAGAGGGTGGTCCCAACACTGGGTGGTATGTCAGCTATGACTCCCCATCTCCCAGGAGACACGGCCTTCATCATCCTGCGTAAGCGGCCACTCATCTTTGTGCACTGGTACCACCACAGCACAGTGCTAGTGTTCACAAGCTTTGGATACAAGAACAAGGTGCCTGCAGGCGGCTGGTTTATGACCATGAACTATGGTGTGCATGCTATCATGTACACCTACTACACGCTGAGGGCCGCCCAAGTGAAGCCCCCCAGGTGGTTCCCCAGGCTCATCACCAGCCTGCAGATCCTGCAGATGTTTATGGGAGCCACTGTCGTCATCCTGGCTTACACCTGGAGACAGGAACAGGGATGCCACACCACAACGGAACAATTCTTCTGGTCCCTCATGGTGTATATAACCTACTTCATCCTCTTTGCCAACTTCTTCTACAAAACCTACGTAATGCCCAAGGTTAAAGACAAGACCAAGAGCGAGTAAAGGGTTGGAGAAAAAGAAGGGGCTCCAGGCTCTCTCCTCCCCGGGGCATGGAGGGGTTTGGTTTAGGTTTGGGAGAATGATTAGGAGGTTTTCCCTGCGTGGTTTCCCCACAGGATGTGTGTCCCAAGGTGGCAGGAAGTTGTGACAGACAAGAAATGTCAACCATGGGAAGGGGATGTGGTGTAGTACTTTGATGTTTCTGTTTTTAATATGAAGGCCAAGCAGACCCTGAGATGGGGCTGGGACTGGGGAGGATTCCCACAGCCGAATTATTTATATTTCTATATAGAAACCTTTCTCTTCTTGCTCTATTTTTTAATTAAATATTTCAAGAAGACTTCTAGTTTGGGGGAATCTGGGGGAAGAAAGGATCTGCTGTGGTGGGAAATGGCTGCTGGCAATGGGATGATCAGTAGGTTAGACGTCTAAGGGGATGTGTGGATGAGAAGCACACACGCAGACACTCAATAAGAATCCTAGTTTTGGTAGGCACTTAATAAATGTCTGTTACAGACCAGAATTTTATTGCTGTTAGAGGCCCCAGCCCCTCATTGGAACAGTGAGAAACAGGTGCAGAAAGGCGGAGTAACTTCTCTAAGGTTCGTAGGCTTCCTAAGTTGCAGAAGTGACACCTGCAAGTGTGACAGACCAGACCTCCCAGTTATCCTCCATAAGACCGCAAGGTGGCGCCGCAGCACCAACTTTAGCCAACGCCCGCCAATGGCTAGTCCCCCCAGCCATCCACACAGACTCGCCAGCACGCGCGCCCCTCCTCTGCTCCTTGGCTTCCCCAGCCTGGTGTTAACGGCGGAGGGGGACCGAAGCCCTAGAAACGTGGACCTCAACACCCAGCTCTGTTTTGGACCTGGGGGAAGATGAGGGGAAAGGGCTCAACTGCAACTCCGAGTCATCAGGCCTTTCAAGGTCCGCGCACGTTTATTTCATTTATCTTTGAAAATGATAAATGGGAGAGGAGGAGTCTGGAGAAGGCGGGGCGGGCCAAGGGTGAGTTGGCCCCCGGGGAACTGGTCCCTTGCCTGGCCTGAGTCCCAGGGGCGTGGACTGTGGGTAGGGCCCCGTCCACCCCTCGGGGCTGGGAGTGGGAAGGCTCTCTCTGGAGCTGGCCGCCTCCCTCCCCCCAGCTGCCCCGGCATCCCTAGCCCATCCAGACCACCCCAGCCCGGGGAGGCGATGAATGACCGACCCCGTCCTCGGGGATGGCAGACCGGCTCGGCACTCATACGGGCCGCTCCACGGCGTACTGACATGGACTGAGGTTGGCCGCCGGGGGCGGCCCGGGTACCGCGGGGTAGCTGAAGGAGGCGTGCTGTTTGGCCTTGAGCCGCAAGCTGGCCAGACTCGAGTTACACGGGTCCCGATAGACGTAGGGGGAGGAGGCGGCTGCAGCAGCAGCGGCGGCGGCGGCCGAGGCGTAAGGGCAGGACACTGCCCCGGAGGACACGGAGGCTGGAGCCAGCCCAGGGGGCCCCCCGCCCAGGCCTTGCAGGGCCCCGGGCCCCGGCACCGTGCCCGGGGCGGCCGTGGCCGAGGGCACCATGGAGGCGGCGATGGAGCTGGGTGGCGAGAAGACGGGCTGCGAAGCCAGAGGCCCCACGTTGACCGAGTTGAAGGCGAACGGGAAGGTCTTGGCGGCGAGCGGCGGGCCGAGCGCCTTGGGCGGCCAGTTGCCGTACGAGTAGCCGGGGTACACTTCTTCGTAGGGCGGCACCAGCCCCCCGAGCGGCGCCGCGAAGCCGCCCTTGCACAGCTCCGCCTGCTGGCTGCGCTCGCGCTTCCGCCACTTGGCGCGCCGGTTCTTGAACCACACCTGCGGGGGAAGGAAAGGCTGTCGGACGGGGCGCCGCGGCTGGGGGTGGGTCCCCCGGATGGGGGTTCAAGCCGGGGCCGGGGCCGTTCGGAGGATTAACAAGCCGAGATGGCTGGAGACGGGAATGGGGTCGCGGAGGAGCGCGTGGAGTCAGGGAGCTGAGGACAGAAGCAGTGGGCGGCAGAACGAAGTCAATGGTCAAGGAGGGGTGGCGAGGAGGACGAGCGACCGTCCCAGGGGAGAGGAAGCGTGGGTCGGGAGTGACAGGGTGGAGATGGGTGGAAAGAAGTGGGTAGCGGACCGGGGCTCAGGGACTTCGGGTGTCGGGTCCGAGGATGGGGCAGGCAGGGCAGAGCTACAGGTTGCAGGTGTCTAAGCTACTCGCTAAGCGGCCCGAGAGGAAGAGAGGGGTGGGTGGCGGATCTGGGCGCGCCGTACCCGCACGCGGGCCTCGGTGAGGTTGGTCCACACGGCGATCTCCTCGCGCGTGCTCATGTCGGGGTAGCGGTTCCTCTGGAAGGTGGCCTCCAGCTCCTGCAGCTGCTGGCTGGTGAAGTGCGTGCGCTGCCGCCGCTGCTTCTTCTTCAGCGAGCCGTCTTCGGGGGAGCCGCCGGGCAGCGAAGCCGAGGCCTTCTCTGAGTCTGGGACCGGGTTGGGGCAGGTCACAGGGATTCCCGGGCTGGGGGTACCTCCTCCGCCGGCCACTCACTCCCACCCGGGCCCCACCCCCATTAGGGATGGAGCTGTTATCTCCCCTACGCCCAGAAGGGGGCGCGCTCACCACTGTGTTCTTGGCCCTTGCAGCCGTGTTCTGGGAGTGGGGGGTGGGGAGTGCCCGCGTCTGACAGTGATAGGGCCGGGCTCCGGGCCTCCGCCTCGCTGAGCAGGCCGAACTCCATGGAGAGGAGACTCTGGAGGGAAGAGAAGACACAGACCAGGCCAATGGGGCTAAAATCTCCGGGTTATCCGGTTCCCAAAAGTGTTTCGCCACAGGTTCGCTGTCCCCTTTCACAGCCCCCAACATAAAGCTACTCCTGTGTGGGGTGCCCTAGGATAGAATAGGGAGACAGCAGCCTAAGGGGAAAAAGGTGTATACTCAAAAACTTCATGCACAGGTATACACATAGACTTTGTTTTGTTCACAGCCAGGCACCTAGAACTGTGCCTGGTGCACAGTTGGTGCTCAATAGGTATTTATTGAATTAATGAAAACCACACCACATGCCATATACCATCCCTCTCACACAAATGCCCAATATTCCCATAAACTTATACATGCCCCTCAGTCAATCACACCTAACACATAGCCAGAACCTCTGTTGCTCATTGAACCAGACCTGATACTTCTGCCATAAAGATAATCACTGCTGTCAATTATGAGTACGTACTGTGTGCCTTTATCTCATTATCTCTCCCCTCACAAGAATGCGTCAATATTAAGTATGGTCACCTTTTTCAGATGGTGAAATTGGGACTTGAAGTAACAATTAAGGGTCACGGGGGGGAAAAAGGTCACAGAGCTTGTAAGCAGTGGAACTGGGATCTGAATCTGCTCTGGGAGACTCCTAAGCTAATGTTTTTTCTCCATTTGTTTTCCTCTTCTTTATTTAAAAATACATTTTTATTGATTTTAGAGAGGAAGGGAGAGGGAAAGGTAGAAACATCAATGATGAGAGAAAATCATTGATTGTCTGCTTCCTGTACACCCCCTACTGGGGATTGAGCCTGCAACCTGGGCATGTACCCTGACTGGGAATGGAACCATAACCTCCTGGTTCATAGGTTCAACCACTGAGCCACACGGGCCGAGCTCTGTTTGCTTTTTCAAATTGTGTTCTTTAGGGCCCCTACCCAGAAACCCCCTCAGGGACTGGAACTCAGGGCTAGTCTCAAGGATGGAACCCTAGCCTGGTCTTGATTTGATCTGCTACATCTAGGGTAGCTCTGCTTTTGACTGTTTTGTTCATGCTTCCTGGAGAGACTTCATTAGAAAAAAGGGTTCCAGAATAAAAACCCCGTTTGAAAACCACTAGGCATTCGGCTCTGTCTGATTCTGTGCCCATCCAGGCACACATCCTACCAGTCATTGTTCTACTCACATGCACAGCCTCTAGTAGGCCCACCCCAGGCAGGCCGCAGACATGAGCTTCTGAAAACCCCCTTGCTGCCCTTACTTCCTATCCCAAACCTTGCCTGACATTACCCAGGAGCCTGCTTGGGTCCCTCTTCAAGTCTCCCCTGCAGGTATCTCTTTTCTGCTGGCTCTCCCAGGCCCTCTCTGGTAGGAGGAAGGGAAAGGGACACTGGTGGGGCTCAAGAACTCTGGATGCCTCTAAGTCAGTGGAGAACCAAAGGAGGGCAGGGACAGAGGAACGAGGGTGAGGAGCTGGGCGGGAGGGGTCTATCTACCTTCCGGTTAACAGGGATTTAATACAGGCTGTGCAAGGTGGCATTAATGTGGTGGATTAGCCTAAGTTGAGATGTTTGTCACTTGGCTGCTCTGAATTTATTAGGAGCCTTTCTCAGGGAGGCACAGATGGGCAGTGGCCTGTATTTGCACATGGTAATGCCCCCTTCAACCAGCTCAGAGGGGACAGCTGTCCCCTGCCCCCACCTCTCAAGTAAGATTGGGGTGGGAGGGACAGAGGTCAAGGCAGGAGTGGAGGAGCAACCCTTGTTCTTTCCACCGGCACAGGAGACTAGACCTTGGACCTTTTCCTAGGATTAAAGGAGCAGGCCTGAAGGGGATCTGGAAGGAAGGAGGGAAGTCAGCCCAGGGTGGAGGTGCTCAGCTTACCTCTCTCAGGTCTGAGGTCAGGAGTCAGAGGCTTGGGGCCGGCTCAACAATGCTCTGGTGGAAGCGAGATGCCCTTGGGAGGGACCTGCAGCAGTCTTGACTAGAAGCTCTTCCCAAATAGCTGGGAAGGCCCAGAGCTGAGAGCCGGACAAAGGGGTGCTCTGAAGTCTCCTTTTACTTTATACCCAAGAGGACAAAGACGGTAAAGGGGGTCCAATACATGATGACAGAGGAGACTAGACGTTGGGTGGTGAGCACACAATAGAGGTTACAGATGTCTTATTATAAAGTCGCACACCTGAAATTTATACGCTATTAACCAATGTTACCCCAATAGATTTAATAAAAAATAAAATAAAATAAATATATTTTTTAAAAGATGCCCTCAAAATGTAAACCATGCCTCTGATTTCTCCAGAGGTCACAGGAGCAACAAAGAATTGGGAAAAGAAACATTTGGGTGTTTGCCTGCAGGGAAAGCTAAATCCCACCATTGCCCTTTATCCTCCCAGTCTGCTTTGGCTCCAGACTTCTAATTTTCCAAACTCCCCTTCCCCCAGCATTCCATACCTGTGTCTTGGTTTCACCCTTTATTTCAGCAAAGGGAGGCAGGGTGAGGAGAGATAAGGGCCAGAGTAAAAGATGAAGCTGAGAAAGCAGAGTTCAGGCTGTGTGTTCCTAGAGACAGACAGACACACATGCAGACACACAGAGGCCCCCACTCAGACAAAATAAGCACTTGGACTTGGAACTAGAGGCATACAAACACACACTCTCCCACACATGTGCTCCCACATTCAAGCAGACAGACACACACTGTCACACAGTCTCCTCTCTCTGTGACAGGGACAGCTGCCTTGGCTGTTTTGGAACTAGCCATTACCCTCCCCCCTCCCTTTCCTGGCCCCTCTGAACCTCAGCTTTCAGTCCCAGGAACTAAGGACTCTGTGGGGGAGGAGGAGGCCAAAGGGGCCAGGGGAGTGGTCTGCACCCAGAGGCTGCTGGGGAAAGCCTGTTTGGCTGAATGGGGAGATGGCAGGAAAATGCTGGAGGAAGAGGGTGAGGCGGGGGTGGGGCCAGAAACTGCCCAGGCCTCTTTTAGGAAAGTAATCTGGTATAGCCCAAAGAAAGTAGGTTTGGAGTCAAAAGATCTTGGTCCATGTCCTGGCTCTCCAACTTACTAGCTATGCGATCTTGGCAAATTACCTCTCTGAGCATATTTTTTCATCTCTAAAAGGGAGATCATAATCCCTCTACCTTCAGTATTGTTATAAGGTTAAAATAAAATATAACATGTAAAAATGGGTACAACTCTATCCAAGTATGTTTTTTTCTTATTCATAGAAGAGATGCCTATTTGGCACCTTCTATGAGCTGGGCGTTGAGTAAGGCACCAAGGATAGAGTGGCAAATAAGAGCTCATCCTCATCTCTGCTCTTGCTTGAGTGGTTCACCTCCCTAGACCCTGTATCTCCCAGTGAAGAATTTCTCTGGTGAATAAAAAGGTGAGGATACTGCATTTTAGAGAGGGATGCAAAGGTGTGTTGTGGGCACTCTGTCCTGAACATAAAGGTGAGCCCAGTCAATAAGGTAACAGCACAATGGATAGAGTAACCCAAGTTGGGAGTCACTTTGGGGACCAGGGACTGGTAAAGGAGAGGATGGAGCCTCAGGCTCCTGACTGGGTTACTAATAGAAGATGGAGGGGATGAGAAGGGCCCTGACTATGAAACGGAAAACAACACTAAAGCCTGACAAGTAATAGGAAAATGAAGGGTGGGGCATAGGTATCTAGCATACTCGTGCCCTGGTGGGCTGGTGAGGCAGAGGCTGCGGGCGCCCAGTGGTTGTCTGAGCTGGAGACAGGTTGGCTGAGGATTAAGCTCCCTAAACTGCAAAATTGAGACTGAGGGCAAGGACTTCACCTCACTCAGTGGACAGGGACAAGCAGTAGGTCTTATAGCCACAGGTTTGGTTGATGCTGATAGGAAATGCCAGGCAGGACCAAAGAGAGCCAAGAGGTAACAGTGGTGCTGGGTCCAGCTTTGGGAGGGGCTGCCTGTCCCACCACCAGTCTTCCTGACACCCCCTGCAGAGGATGCATGGCTCAGGCCCCACTGGTGTCAGAGGGCAAGCCTAGCCCTAAGGAGAAGGGAGGGCCTACAGAGGTGCTCTGATTGTGAAGTACAGGCTGGAATTACAGGACGATGTCATAAACTGCGGCAAGAACAAAATACCCAACTTATATTAAGGTGGACAGCAGAGAATATCATAGGCCAGAGAGGCCACAGTGGGGAGGCCATGGTTGACCCAAGGGGTTCATGGCAAGAGGTCAACTGCCATGTGTACCCACTTTTGTCCTGGAGCCAAAGGGGTAAACCAGGGCCACGGCCAGAAAGCCCCCAAGAAGTTACAACAATAAATGCCTAAGACAGGAAACACACCCTGGAACTTAAATAGGAGAACTTTCTCCTGCAGGGACAGAATAAGGAGGAAGATAAGAGGGGATGGCGCTGTGATGCTGTGGCTCAGCCAGCAGCAAGTGGGTGAACAGGTGTAAATCAGGTCCCCACACCATTCCGTAAACCTGAAACTGAAGCGAGGCCCTTAAGTGCACACAGCCTCACATTCATTAGTGATGCTGAGCACCCAAACGGTCTGGTCTGCTGAACTGCAGTGACAAATGGGAACGAATAAAGACAGCTGGAGACAAGCTCACAGCCCCAAGAGGAAACCCTAAGATTCAGGTGGAGGCAGCAATAATTTGATACACTTAATTTATTAAGAGGTGAGTCAGGGATCAGAGAAATGAACCTCCACACTCTTCCTTCCCTTCCTTCCTTCCTTCTTTCCTTCAGCAAGTGTTAGGTGCTAAGACAGATCCCCAAGACTGGTAAGGCAAAGACCCTAACTTCTAGGAGCCTCTAGGGAGGCAAACAGAGCACAGAATGAAATGATGGGCTGCTTGAGTCTGTTTCTCAGACTTTGATAGAGAGACAAATGGAAGCCCATGTAAGGTGTATGTTTTGGGGCTAAGAGATTGTAGCAGGTTCGGAGGGCAACAGGGACAACGAGAGATCATCAGAGAAAAATGGGTCAGGCTGGGGAGGTGTCTCCAATGAGGGGTGGTGGTTCAGGTTTGATACGATCTAGGCTAGAGCATCTCCAGATTTTCCATTAAAACCCCACCAAGACGAGTAAGAGGGAATATCACCCTGGAACACTAGGGGCGCAACCTAAAACAGATGCCGCCGGTATGAAAAGTCTTTGAGCTCTCCAGCCGTATGTTAAAACTGAAAGTAAATTTTTGCATTCTATTCCATAAAGTTATGTTTGTTTTAATATAAAAATAAAGTGTTCTCTCCAAATCTCCAAGTGACATCATCACACCAGGAAGATAGATGGGCCGTGTTTAGCCTGCAGCGTCATGCTCCTCTCACTCCTATACTGCCCTCTTCCTTCAGCCTCCTACAGAGAAGCATGGCTCCAAGCAGTGGGCGTCACTGGAGGCTTAAGGCAGGAGAGGGACATAGAAGCAGCATCTTTGGGGCCTTTATTTGGCCTTGGTGAGCAGACTAGATTGGGCAGGGGAGAGATGGGAAAGGGGCTCTTTGAAAGCAGTTCTTTCTCATTCCACCACCTATCTTTCCTTTCTTTCTCCACCACTCTTATCATGGGTCCCTGTTGGTGACTATGGGCTAGACATTCTAGATAATCCCAAAGCTCAGGACCTAATGGATCCTTCATATTAGCTGCCATCTCTCTCCCCCACACTCTGGGCAGCATCATTTAGAGTGAACAGAGAAGAAAAGATTTGGGTGGCTCCTCCCACCTCTCATCCCCATCCCAGCTCAGTGTTAGTTTGCCTCCCCTACCCTCTCTTCCTGGACCTGGGTCTTGGATCCATATTCACATCCTTAAGCAGCAGACAGGCAGGGAATAGATCAGGATATCTGGCCTGGTAGAGGAGTCAGGCATTCGGGGAGCTCCTTTGAACTCTTCTCAGAGAGGGGCAGGGTAATGGCTGGCATCTGAAGCCCGAGATAGGGTGTTTCCTCTGTCACTGAGAATCTTCCGGTGGCTGGACCGGGGATGCTAGCTGGCTGATTTAAGACTTGAGACACCACCCTTCCAAGCAAAGATTCTACAGTTTGGGCATAATCACGGCAGTAATATTTCTTGTTTCTATGGTGCTTTTCCACTTGCAAAGGGCTTTCATGTATATGATTTCATTTAACTCTTACAACCACTGCGAGTGGCAGGAATGACCAACCCCATTTAACCTCTGAGAAGGTGAATTTGTAAAGGTTACACAGATTGAAGACCAAGGACTGAGGTCTTTTCACTCCTAGCCCCCTCCACCCCAGCAGCCATTTGCGGCTCTGACATGCACTGATCCTCTCAAGCCCCAAAGAATTCTCTTTCTACTTCCTGACTCTACCAACCCTCTGGGAATGAGCTCTGGAAGTTGACTGCCCACCTTGTGCCTCGGGACATGTTTCTATTCATCTTGCACTAGCATCATTCCAGTTCTAAGGGGCCCCTCATCTCTGGTTTCAGGATTTGAGGAGCAAACAAGTCTTCTGTTTATCGATGCCTTTCATTATTTTGTGGGTTTTTCCACCCCATCTCACTTTCCAGAGGCTTAAACTTTGAAGTTTGCCCTCTCCAGCAGCCACTGGCTCTCCATTCTGTGAACTATTCTCTGACACTTCCCTAAGTCCATGATATTCTTCCTAGGAGCCAGTGACTCGGGAATGCACTCAGCTACGTGGTTTTATGCAAGGATGGGAGAAGGTTCTGCCTGTTGTTTCCAGTCATCTTCACTATGATGCTGTTGCTTTTTGGCCTTTTTGGCAAAATCAGAACTTTGGGCTAAGGTCTTCAGGGAACCATCTGCAACACCTTCCCTATTCCTTTCCTGACTCAGAGACTTTCATCAGCCATAATTTCCATGATTTTCAAAGGTGATGGGAGCTCAAGCCCCTGAACAGGGTATCAGAATGTGGCGAGAGTATTGGTTTGACTCTATATTTATCAAAAAGGGGCAAGGAACAAAGAAGGTTGCGAAACAATGTTCTAGCTGGTAATACCTAAACTTTAAAATTGAAGAATGGAGGTGGGGGTGAGGGTAATATGTATTGTATGTCACTCATGGGTGGAGGATGAGAATGTTTGCTATCCACTTGTTTAAATTATTTACTCATTGCTAAACACATCACCTTGCACTTCCCCATGAAAACCCAGTCTCCAACCCAGCTGTTTTCTCACTACATAGACTGGGAGAGTTCTCTCTACTCTGTTCTCTTCAGCCTAACTGGGGTCTGTCTAGTTACAGAGTTGGGGTCAGGGTGGGTGATTATTGTAGGGGTCCAAAGAATCAGGGCCCACCCACAGCTAAAGGGAAAGCACACAGGACAGCTGGGTATGGCTGAGACCCCCTTTCCAACCAGAGTTGGGGGCCTCACGTTGGACCTAAGAGTCTTGATCCCATGTGTCTCCTTCCTACCTCGGCTCAGCCATCAGGGTGTTTTTGAGATTGGGGGTGCTGAGGGAGCAAAAAGGGAAATAAGGCCACAGGGTTTGCTTTGCTAAAGGACTGCAGTTTTCTCTTCAGGCCTGGGCTCCTGCTCCCTGCAGAGAAGGCACCTTTAACTTGCTGGCACCCAGACAAGAAGTTTGGGGGTGTCTGATCAGCTGTATTAGAATGAGGGGTTTCCTCAGAGTTTGTGAAGGCACCGAGGTTAGCAGGGACTTGTGCTGGGCCCCTCCTCGCCCTCCCTTTGTGGTTCACTCCTTTTCCTGGACTTGAATCCCACTAGCAGCGCCCCTCATGGATTTCTCTGCTCAGATTTGGATTCTGGAAGTCCAGGCAATGCTTGGATCTGGTTTGAGTTGGGGAGGGAATCTCTCCCACTACCACTTCGCCCCAAGGCCCAGCTGTAGGCTTTCCTCTCACTCCCTGTTCCTGAGCCCTACAGCCCCTCCGAGCAGAAACAAGTTTGCAAAGTGGGGTTTGAGGCGAACCCCACTGCACACGCAGCAGCTGGGTAGGCGCTGCCCGGTAAATGGACATGCCACTCGGCCAGGGACATTCTGTCACCGCTGCCTGACACAGCGCCTGCTCCAGGGAGACCCACCTCGCCGCCTCGGACATTCTGTCCGCTACCGGCCCTGCGCGCTGCGGACATTCTGTCCGATGTCGTGGCGGCCCCAGGCTGGGACCCACGCGGACCCTGACACCCCCAGCCGGACACTCCAGACCCGCTGCCTGTGATTCGGGCTGCCCAGCCACTGCCCTGCCGCCCGCACGGCGACCATCTGACCTGGTCGCGGCCAGCCTCTCACTACAAGGCGCCTATCGCAACTGCGAAGCAGCTGAAAAGAGAAGCGTGAGCAACTAGAC